GAGTATCCGTTGGCGTCCATGGCCGCTAAATGCACGCAGCGCACGATGCCGACGATCAAGCCGCCCTGCTGGGTGCTGTACATGAGCGACACGAGGATCTTCCCGCGTTCTTCCACATCCCCGCCACGATCTACCTGCAAGAGGAAGCAAAAGGAGGTGCCCTAAGCGAGGGGCGCCAGGAAAACAGCTCCAGAAACACAGCAGCTACAGTCAGTGCTCTCTGCAGAGCAGGCAAAGGGAAACGGCGAGAGGAACTTTGCAGCAGAACCTCCGTGAAGGCACAAGAGGGGCTCATACATGAGAGATCATTGACCTAACGTGCAGAAAACACGTTACGCTCCGAGGACGAGGCAGCCTCTTACCTCTTCTTCATACAGTGCCATCCCACGAGATGAGCCGGTCGTTCCAGCACGCTTCATCTTGAGTTAGGAAGGGAACAAAGAGAGACTTCCATGAATAACTGCAGCTGAGAGCAGCATTGCCCTATGGCAAAAACACTCCCACATGGAGGCTGGGAGCTCTGCAAAGCTCTTTCATTGATCTCAGGAGTGGAAGGGGGCTCAGATCAAGATTCTTTTACTCTGATAATTTCTTCTTCCCCAGACTTAGTACATCACTCAGAGCACCGGGGAGCAAAGCGCAGACAGGCAACAAACTGCCCGCTCCTCTCCAGCAACATAAATCAGCAAAGGCTGGCAAATGTCAGAAGATTTTTCAGCCACCACAGAGATCCCCAAAGGGCTGAGTCACTTTCTGAAACGAGCTCTTCACATTAACTATTAATCGCTCTTAATTCAAGAAGGTCAGTTGCTTTCATTTGCTTTTTCTAATCTAGGCTACTTCTCCAAGAGCAAAGTTCTGCCTTTTGTTTCTGTCACTGGAATCAAGGGAGCGCTGACCTCCTTGTTTCAGATTCATACAATTTTAACTGAAACTGGATCCCTGCATTCCCACCACATGTCTGTCCCTTGGCTTTAATATGTCACATCAGCCCAGACCCCGAGACATGAGAGTCCAACTCTGCAAGATGTCAATGAACCCTAGGCATGAAGATGCCTTGGATTGTACCAGTTTCAAATTCACCACTCACATGCCATTTATTTGCAATCTCAGAATTAATGGTGCTAGAAAAGAGTTTCTTAAACTCACTGGTATTACTCTCTCCAAGCAGATGTTGAAGTTCTTTTTCTGATTGGGTTTCAGCTTTTTCAGGGAAACTCTAGTTTCGCCAATAAACTCATTGTGGCCAAATTTGTCTTCATCACACACAGAGATCCTGAAGGGAACATGAAAGAGAACATCAAACCGGCAGGAGCAGCACCTGATTTGGGAGCACATTAGCATCCATGTAGAAAACACTCCAGCAAGATTGCTGCTCAGAGGGTGGACAAAGCAAAGTAATATCTAACTCTGCAGGCATCTGGCTCTCCTTTGAACAAAGTCACTCGGAAAACAGGATTTCTAGTTTGCTGTTAAAAAATAAACAAACAAACCCACAAGCATTTTGATGTTTCTTACAGAAAGGAGATGCTGAAGATTTTTGGAAACATCCTAACATTTTGCTAGGATACTGTCAAATCACAGGTAGAAAAATACATAAATACAGGATAAATAAAACTACATAGTGATAAGATTAATAGTGATAGCAATAATTTGATATTAAGTGAGAAGGTCCAAACTGCTTTCATTTTCCTTTTTAAAAGAACTAATAAAATTGACATATTCGTGTGAAGGATTTTGTCAAAAACTCTGCACTTTCAGATGCTCTGTTAAAAACATGCACTTTGCTGCCAGGGCCCTC